TGCACAACTTGGACAGCTAGACAGGCCTAGCCGCTGTGGTAACGGTCAGAGCTCATGTCGCTGGAGTGGGCAATGGCTTACGCTTTCCACGTATAACTGAGAGCTAGGCAAGGGTGAACTCTTAGGGAAGGGCCGGTCATGTATTGAAGACCACCACAGTCCACCACACAATGCCGTGTTTTCAAGGAGCGACAACCAAAATATCAGGGAGCGCTACATTGGTTGGGGAGGGACTGAGCGGTGCAGTTCTGAACATGCAGGTTGTGAGTAGATCAGCAAATCCAATCAGACGTGCTTAACTAAACCCGTGACCCGTGACTGAGATTCTCCAACCTTTCCAACAATAACCACTTGCGGTCAATCCATGCTCGCAGTTCACGAGCTAAGCGATGGGTTGCGGAGCCAAATCTGTTCCTACGTTACACTCTAGTTCGCTGCGGACGGTTGGGCGTGTCAGCCAGTATGAGTGTGTCACCCCGTCAAAGCCGTTCTCTGCCTTCTTGTTGAAACGCGCATGCGACAAAAAGTGGTAGAAAACGAGTAATACGAAGGATATGATACAGTATGTCACTTGCCCGCTTCAACAACTGGTGGAGAACGAGTTTGGCACCGCGCCAAACGCAGCCGCACTGACACGCCCAACCGTCCGCAGCGAACTACACTATATATTGAGAACTGGGCCTTAATAGATCCGTTTGAAGGATGCTGATGAAATGGACAGAAACCCGTCGACCTAAAAGAAAACCTCACCTCAAAATCACACCAAAGCCAATCCGATTGGGATGTAGAATGGGCTTGTCTCATCCAACTTTTTTGGTTCCTCATAGTGACAAAAGGCTCTGCCATGTGCAATGAAGACAGACCCGCAAACTCATCACAAGGGTCTCCTGGGAACAGTTGAGAAAGTTGCACTTTGAACTTGCCTCCCTTTTGTTTGCTCTGTGCTTCACATTCTTCTTACAATGATAGTGTACGTAGTTTTGAAGAAACCATTATTAATTCGATTTTTGTTATGACACAGAAAGTTAGAAAGCAGGATACCGCCGCATTTTTCAGAGGAGGAATCAGAGCTTTCCTAGTGAACTTTCTTTGAAACTGCCAATTTCAGATGTCTTTCCTTCGTAAATATTTATTGGGAGCGATAGCTGCGTGTATTCTTTGTACATTAATTATCATCTTTAATTGTTCCTGTGAATCTGGAAATCGACCGTACCATTACATGCCAAAGCCAGCAGCACAAGGTAAGCTTTTTCTTGTCCACTGATATCCAACTGAGGCGCAGTTTGGCTTGGAAGGGAGGGGCATTTCGCACATATGCTAGTAATCAACGGGGACCGGCAAAATGCTCCACCAAGCCGAACTGCGCCTTTAATCGAACCTGCTCTTGCCCACTGCACACCCAGTACTGCGGACAAATGAACTTAGCTATTGATTAGGCGTCTGTCCAGTCAACAACTGTTCTACACACGAAGTGCGATCTGATGTCTTCTCAACTGTTTTTTGTAGCCTCGTCGACTGATACTCAAGCTGCCCTTCCGGAGACTTTTCTTTTTGGATCGCCATGTTCGCTGCCCCAAATGAAAGTGAGGTTAGACGGTTATTCAGAGAACACGTTACGACTGTCACAGAAAGTCGACGGTGGTCGGTCCACGCACCGCTTTTCGATAGGAACGAAGGGTCTGAGGTAAGGTTCGTTGCACTTTTCCAATTCACTAGCTTCTATTTGACATGTTGTGCATCACTTCTTACCGCCGCTCACAATCGTTCCTTGTCGCTCGTGCGCAAATCGTACGGGGTTTACATACAACTTGCACAGATCCTTATTATCGCGTCAGTCTCCTGTTTTTCTCGGCCTTCACCCACTCCAGGGTTCCCTTCATCGAAAAATTCCGCGCCTTGGCTCGCCACAATTTTTTTTTGCACTTTTCGAGGCTTTCGCAGCTACTGACCTCTATGTGTACAGCGTTTCACTACTGGATCACGCGGAAAAATGAAGTTGTCCCATAGCATATGGAACTTCGGAAATTGCCATGCAGTTTGGTCGCGCGCGGCGGACTGCAGCCGGAGACATGTTCGGGGGCATGAGTGAATTTATTTCATTTCTCTTATAACCTGCTTCTAGTGAGGCAATGCGACTACAGCTAGAGGAGGAGCAAAAAGCTCATGGAGATCTTGCAGTAATAGAAAACTTGGAGGAAACGTACTCGAATTTGGCTCTCAAGACGCTAAGGACGATGGAGTACGCTTACCAGAACTTTCGATTTCAATATATACTGAAAGTATGTTTGTTTTCTTTCATTATGCTTCTTGGTGTGCAAAATGTGGAGCGTCTTATGCAAAATTTATGGTTTTCCAGGTAGACTCGGACTCTTTTGTACGATTAGGTGCTTTTATCAAGTCACTGAAGGATATTCAACATCCACGTCTATATTGGGGATTCCTTGACGGCCGAGCAAAACCGTTCCGGAAAGGAAAGTGGCGCGAAGCCGACTGGATCCTCTGCGATCGTTATCTGCCATACCAGGTAAGACTATTTGAATTGGATCCCTTTTTATCAAGAGGGGACAGCGAAAAGTGGCGTTGTTATTGCAATTGTGATCCCCAGATCGAATCCCAGGTTTATTCACCCATTCATTTGGTTGAACGAGTTTCCCGTTGGCATCGCGCATGCAACTGCTCCTTTTCCATGCAGCACCGCAACCGCGTCATATCAATCAATTTTCGCAAGAGAAGCGATAAGAGTATCAGCATTGATTGGGCTGTGCAGCCATTTAAAAATAGGTGATTGCGTTGGGCGTCTGGGTCGGTATGTTGCTTCCTGGTTAGGCGCTATAACGGCGCGTTGGTTGGAAAAAGCGCCAAGTAGCGCTTGTTCAAGGGCACAGTATTCATTTCAGCAGGCATATTTACCCTCGTCTCCTTATCGATTTATCCTGCCACTTGTCTTCAATTAATCATACAAGAGGAGCAGCTCGGAAAATTCGGGGAATTTCCCGGGCTAACTTGTTTGCTTGGCGGGTCAAACGCTGTCCAGATCAGTCAGCCTTCCTTCTCTTTGGAAGTGACCAACTGGTACTAGATGTATTCGGTTACAAACACAAGGTTCACTGATACAAACTGACACAAGAACTGCCCCGTTAATCATTGTTCGAATCAAATACGAGTTCGAGCACGTCATTGGCTCGGATGGAAGCCCTGGGTCAGCCCATCTATGCAAGGGTTAAGCAGCTTAGTACTCTATAGACCTTGTTCAAAGAGAACAGAGGAAAAGGGCGGAAGAGATGTAGTGGCAATTAACCCGCTTACGGTATGCGCGCACCTAGAGGGGGAGGGGTCAAATCCAGGATCGAATCCTGTCCAGACACGCAAGTCCTTATCTTCCGGGCCGGTAAATTGGACCCAGGTTCGTCTGGGAGGATGGAAACAGTGATTTGTGCATCCCCCACTTGCAAAGGTCATTGTATAGG